TTGTGAGTGAGTCATAAAACTTGATAATTATATCAAATCATTAAAGGGAGGCGCATGAAGTGATTGTGACTTTGAGAGTTAACTTAAAACATTAAAAAGTGGAGGCACATGAAGTGGTCGTGCCTTAAGAAATGGGTAAACATCAGTCAGGGTAGTAGATGGCTATGTCAGAGGGTGGTAAACACCTCTTGGCGGTCAGGAGTGTCATTATGATCACGAGAGCATGAGGGTTGATGCAGATCAAGATTTTTTTGGGGCTGTTCAGGTTTTTCTTTTCCTGATAACTTCAGAAGGGATTTCCAGATTAAGAGGGGAAAACTAAGTTTGGGTTTTACTTATGCTGACACCATGTTAAGGAAAAAAGTTGTGTTATTCATTAGAGATCTCACTTACAATTGGGTAACTAGTTCAATGTTCTAGGGAACACCCAAATAAACACACACCACTTCCTAAAAATAGATAATTACCTATTTTACTATTCTCTTTTTTCAGAAAAATGTTATATTTTACCAAGGGTAAAGCAGGATTTTGTATAAGCAAAAATTATCCAGAACGTTATTACTCTCTTATCATTCTTTTTGTATGCATTATAATAGCCAACCTTTCTTATTTATAAAGGGGCTGCTTGGTTACAAGTTTTACTAGTATAAAGTAAATTAACCGAATTAGTTTTGAAATTTTTAATGTTTTCTTGGAAGAAAAGTAAATACAGTGTAATTTTTTGAGGTATTTGAAATTATATATCTAATTCATTTACTATATATGATGTGATACATTCAAGAATTGCACATGAAATTCATTAAGAATCACAAAGTCTACCAATGTAAGATTAGAGTATCGTAGTTTAAGATTCAAGAAGTTATCCGTTATCAAAATGTTATGATAAACAATTACAAGCTAATTGTTTAGACACAATTAATGAAGGATCTCAAAAGTATCACACTAAAGCGAATGCGGAAAATAATATAATCCCACGGTTAATATTTAGAAAATTCACTACGAGTTACCTTGCTCACTCACACTCAAGTAGGGCTTAGCGGGTGAAGCTCTTTAGCAAACTCAACGATGCCACGGGAATGATCGACTGTTGATGCTCCAATCGGAGTTTCGGTTTCGACGGTCGATGATGCTCGCAAGAATTGGGACGACTCGCTCCAAATATTCTTCAACGGTGGTATCGTCTTCAAATCCCACGTCGAAGCAATGAGATCTTAGGATGTTGATGCTTCCGTCGGCGTTGAATACAAGACCCCACTTAAGTTCCGGATCCGCCATTCATGGGAGCTAGGTGATTAAAATCCTCACACTTGATGATGCTCTTGAAAATAGTTGGAAAGGAAGAAGTCCCTTGTGCAATCTTGTAGGGAAAAAGAGACCAACTCAAAACCTGAAATAAGTTTCAGGTTTTGGTGTGTAGAGGGGAGGGAGTTTGGAGAGAAAAAACCAAGGAAAGGGGCATGGAGGAATTCGGCCAGCAGCAGGGAATATTGGAGAATATTTCCACAGTGAACCGTTACATCTATGGAGAGATTTCAAACGTCCAGCAATAAGGGGAAGGGGGACGGCGGGATATGGAGGTGCTCCAATTACTTCCAATTTGAATGGGCTTTAATTGGGAATTAATTAAGCAATAAACTTCTTCAAGGTCGGCTAAGAGAGGTGGCTGAAATCTGAAGAAAATTTCCAAGTGAAGCTCAGCAGAAATTAGGAAATAATTCCAAAATCTCCTCTAGAGGGGCCAGCAGTACAAAGGGGGCATGGGAGGCATTTAATGAGAGATTTTAAGGCTTCTTAATTTGGTTTAAAGGATTAGGAAAGTAAATAACGTCCAATCCAATTTTAATTATCACATTCCAGATGGATGTCAATGTAGGATATCTTCCTTAATAAATAGTCACTAATTAAGGAAAGAATTGAAATTTGAACTTCAGAGAATTTCAAATTCAATAACCAATCCTAAAATTGACCAACCAAAATCAAGGAAGTCCAAATGGGTGGGAAAGGGGGTGTGGCCGGCGCTAAGGAGTGCAAGCCTGGCGGCATGGTTTTCGGTGGGATGGGGAATTTAGCCGCTGGGTTTGAGGTCAAGAGAGGGGGTCGGGTGAGGTGTTGAGGGTGGTTGAGGTAGATTGGAGGGGAGTCATAGATAACCACAAGAGATAATGGAACCAGCGGAACCCGGCTGTCTCCAAGGTTGGTGGGATGGGTGTCAAGGACTTTCCCTCTCCTAGGGATCTCTCCATCAAATATCAACCTCTCACAAGAGGCTCACATGCCATAAATAATATTTAATAAACAACATGTCATAGCTTTATACAAAGCATGAGACCCATGTGAAAGGTCTTAAACACATGAGGAAAATAAAAGTACCTTCTATATATGCCCCTTATGGGCAGGCAATAAAGACAACACTCCCCATAGGGGC